GGGATAAGGGCAGTTTAACAGAACAGCAAACAAAGGGAACAGTAACAACAATGATACCGATAAGGAGAATAGACAAAACAAAACAGCAGAACAGAACAGCTCTCTCGGACCGAACCGCCGCTGTGCCTTCCCAAGCGGCGAGTGAGTTCCTGCCACGCCACCCCCTCCACCGGAACCCAGCATTACAGCACATGGTATGGAATACCCTGCTCTGTTTGGCCAGGTTGGGGTTGGGTCAGCCCACCCGGCTGTGCCCCTTCCTGGATTCTGGTGAAAATTAACCCTGTCCAGGCCAAACCCAGGACACATGCCTAATAAAAAAATAAGTAACTGCAATTAGTGTCATTAATTCCATAGCTCAAAAGTATGTCTCCTTCGTTGCCTTTGCCATGCATATTTAAAAATTAAAACATGATCTTGTATACAGCACACTGTTTTATCAGAGTAGTTTCATACAAATACTTATGTAAATTAAAATGTAAGTTTTAATCAGTTTCAATTGGAGCACGAGTACTTTAACTTCTGTGACACAGGTAACTTTACCAAGATGATGTTGGTCTCTTTCAGAGGTATTGGAGAGGGAACTCAAATTGGATGATGGCCGGGATCCCGCTCTGTCAGCCTGGGCTTCATGAAGGTCCTGCAGCAGCTTAGTTGTTTCATCCAGATGTAAATGGTTATCGTCATGATCGAGCTCCTTCTTCACTTTTCCTAAGGGCCACCAGTTACCAACCAAAAGTGACGATTAGCACATGCAGACTGACTCGTGAATTACCAAGTCACTATAAAAAAGTTCTAAAATAAGTTAACACAAGTGCTGCCTATTACACAAACAACCTCAAACTTGCATTTTCCTTTGCACTTCTAAAAGGCAACAGCTGCAGATCTGTTTTCAGTTTCAAGAAATATATGTTGAAACGCATTTGGCGATACTGGAGGATGAAGGAGAGCGCCATGGGAAATGGCTGAAACTGAACCGACTCCCAGTACTTCACCAGCTATAAGAGCTTAATTTGTCTTCCTCATCTGTTAAACTCCACACATGAAACAACATATTTAGTTTGCAGCAAAGGAGAGGAAGTCAGTAGGAAGATAAATTAAATATCTAACTTAAACCACAGTTAAAATAGAATACGTAATTTATGGAGGTGAAGAAATTCCCATCACAGAAGATTTTAAGAACAGTATTTTCTTCAGCTACACTGATTTCATAGTAAGCCAAATAAAATTCTGAAATTGGAAAAAATTGGAAGTATGTGCCACCATTAAAAAAAAAAAATCTCTCAACCTTAAACAGGAAAATAAACTCTTTCCCCTTGCTAACTTTGCAAGAGTTATGACATGAATCATAATCATTCTGGCTCTCTCCAGAAGCTAAGTAATCTAGAAGTGTGATTATTTATCGAAAGATCAAAGAAGAAAAATATAAGCAGCCTTCAGTGGAGTAACAAAATCATAGTAAGACTGATATGTCTAAACATTAGTTATAAAACAGGCATTTATTCATTTTTTAACTGAACTGCAATAAACTTAGCATACGACACTATAATCAAGAGCTTACAAACGCTTTTCAAAGAATACTGCACCTATGGGAGAAACCTGTAGGAATTTTTTTTTCTTTAAGCTTTCAACTACCTTCGTTATCTTTTATAACAGATAGTTTGGCATCTTTCACATTCTGAATTAGAAGCATATTAAACCATAAGCAGTATTTTTTTATGACGACATTTTTGAAGACATTGGATCAGCTCAGCAGCCTGCAGAACATTACCTCTCATAGTATTTTAAGAAGGATACCTATCAAAGCCATGTATTTGAAACAGCATCCTAATACTTTCATATAACTGCCTTATTTGAAGCTAAAGTCTTTTCAACACCTGAAGCTTCTTCTGATTTTTGTTTTGGGACATTCCAAGTGGTTATATTATTGAGCTTCACATATCTACCTCTCTCCCAAGTTATTTCAAAAGATAGCATAAGAAGTAATAACATTTCTGAGCCAAAGCTCCATGCTGATTCTTAAAATTTATGTCAATATGAACACACACACAAAAAAAAAGCAAAGCTATCAAAATTGCGAGGTACAAATACTTTGGTTTCTTTAGTGGTAGAGGAAGAGCACACGGGTGTCTCAAAGGAAAAACAGACCAAGGTTTAATTTATTTTGTACCAGGCCTAGACTCCTACCTATGTCAAATGTAGACTTATTACAACTTTTTGAACACTTTTTTATTCTTAACAAACCCAGATGTTATATTGCCTAAATGGTACAACTAAACCGTAATTCATGGCTTGTATATATAATTACTTACCTAATGAACTTAACATAGAAATATCAAGAGATACATCTGAATAGGGTTTCATAGAAAGGAAGTCCAAGTCAGAAGTGTTACTGTCTCCAGCAGATTCTCCAACCTATAAAAATCCAAGAAACAGACTAGCAATAGTGTCAAGCTGTCATAGTAACTTTTTAATGCTTAAGGTAAACTCATGAATCCATGCTCTCAAAAGTCTGCAGAACAACACTTGAGACTGGAGCATCCATAACTATCTTGGCTAGCCTGCAACTCACAGGCAGCTCAAACACGGTTCCAGGACAGACCAGTCATATGAATGGCAAGGGATCTGCAGGGTAGTCTAAACATCTTTCACCTCATCATATGGGACTGCAGAAATCAACAACCACCAAATCCTCTGTATACCTTATCACGAACCACTCCCAGAACCCCTCTTTCCTCACCTTGTCAATGCAACACTGGATTTATTGAATTTTTTTGTATGCGACTAATAAAACCAGTAAGGTGGGCCTCCCTGGACACCATATTAGCTGGAGCTGGTCTCTCAAATATTTTTTCTGTACATTTGGATAACGAAACACAGCCTGCACTACAACAGTTTCATTTTTTCCATACCTGTTGCAATACTGCGATGTAATGGCAAAAAGTAAGAGATCAAAGTAAAAGTCATTACGCTTCATTTTAACAGAATTCTCTGAGGTTGCCTAATTCCAGCAGGAGCAATAAGACATGCAGGTACATACACTAGTGGGTATTATCTTTCAGAAATATGAAAACGAAACCTAGCATTTTCATGAATTAACTTAAACAGTTATCGTCCAAAGAAATACAAAGCTTTCCACAAAACATAAAGAATATTTACAAAACTATAAAATTTATTAGTTGCTATAATATAATCCGTATAATTTTCATGTGAATTGCCATGGAATACAGTGCATATCTTCTGTTGTCACAAATAATTTGCAAGATAAAAAATATACCACTTAAAGATTTGGTTAGTAGCTTTGAAAACATAAGATATGCATTATTTACCCCTACTTCCTAACAGACATTATCAATGGATGCAGTAAAACTGATCATTACTACTGGGTTTTTTTCCACTTTTACAGCAGGTTGAACCTCAAATACGCATCAGCAGATCAAGTATCTTCCAGACTCCTAAGTGGTCTTTCTGCCTCTGAGATTTAGTTATGCATGCTGAATTGAACTAGAGAACACAGAAAAACAGGACAAACAAAGCTACGAACTAAAATAGACACTGTCAGAGAATCAATTTTAAGTACTGAAAGCTTATTCTAGATACCGCAATATAAATCTTCTACCTCAGAGCACACACAACCTTGCACTGAAACAAAATTAATGTCTCAACACTCTTTTTTTTTAACCACACAAACCATTTTACCATAATCTGTTTGGAAGAATCCGGACAGGTATGACGCAGCTTGTGTTCTTCTTTTATGAGAACTGGCAGAACCTAAAGAACCAAATCATATTATAGATCTTAGCATTTCATACCTTATGTTTCCTAAGAATACTCTTAGTTTATATAATTTGCTGGTTTACCAGGATCGGATCCTATGCCACCACTGAATACTACCGTGTTTCATGATGTTTACATAGAACGTTCACAACAAACTAGACTAGCTCTTCTCTAATGGGTGACCATATACACTCACATAAATAATTTAGAACTAACCAGGACAGCCTCTTTAGGACTAACCTAACAGCCCCTTCTTTGTCATACACTCCACTTATCAATCTTTGCTGTATACAGAACAGATGCACATTAGATAAAATTATGAATTTGCATGTTGGAAGCCCAGAGAGCATTACTTTCTCAACTTAAAATGCCAGGACACTTTTTCCAGTTTAAAAAAAAAAAAAAGAAAAAAGAAAAAAAGAAGAGACTGAGTATCAGCATAACTTACTTTTACTTCATCCAGTGGTTTTACTGGGATGTTTCGCCTCTGAAAAGAAAGAATACTAACAATTACTTTTATCCAACATGAGAGAAAGACCTCTTTCTCATACAATTTCAAGTATATTCAAACTTCACATACAAAATAATGCTAGAAACAGCCAACTTTTTCAGATATCTGTAATGCAATCACAGTGTAACAGGTACTGTTCTGAAGTATTTTAGCATTATGTATTTTAACTAATCTTTGAGTTCCCTTACGCTATTTCTTCTGCCCGTGAACTTCATATTCAAACGCAGTATATTAGTCATTACTTCAGTACCTTCTGATTCCAAATCATTTAAGGTTGTACTTTCAGAGATATTAATTCTTACTCAAATGTAGCAGCATAAAATACTCAAGCACAAAACACCATGTCATATCATCAGTGAAACACATCTAACTGCACAGAATCTGTACATATCCATGTGTCACAACTGAACAGCATTTCTAAGTGTAAATAGCCCTTAACCATTTGATAGGTATTCAGAAATTCTCATTGGGAACAATATTCATAGAGCAAGGTGGCAAAAGAGGAAAGGCACATGTTTTAATTTAAAGCTGCTCAGTATGTCGTATACACACATTTCTAGATGTAGAAGAATATTCAAAATATTGGTTTTGAGTTTTTCGAACTTTCAAAATTTTTTGAACTAATCCTTTACATTTCTTTCTGTTTCACATGCAACCTTTTTCCAGCAGGGACTGGAAAAAAATACCCCAACAAACTCCGAAGGATCCTCTGTATTTTTCATTCTACTGTCTCCTTTTCCCCAAACATCACCCACCTTATTCTACTCCTAAGTCTGCAGAGATTTAGCATAATCTCATTTCCACCATGTCAGGAAGTCCGAGTACCTTCCATCCTCCCCCCCACCTCCCTCTCTTTATTCTGGAATCATTCAGACCGCCATCATTTTGAACAGCAAACAATTATTTCAAACTAAGAGTGGTTTTCAGAGGGAACATAACATGAAACAAGATTTTGCAGTTTCTGGTAGTCTATTTTGTCTTGGGAATGCAAACATTCCCACTAGAATTACACACACTTCTGAGAAAAATGTCTTCTGCAGTCTCAGTATGAATCTCCTAGGTAAAGTGTTTTTGGAAATTAGTTAAAAGTTTTTCCTTCATACATACTGGATGAATTTAAAAGTTAGGAGTGTTGGGTAATAGATACCTGTAAAGTGATATTAATCTATTCTCCAATACCATTTCAATGTTCCAAGTAATTAATCCTTCCACAAGGAATATATTTTGCATTTAAATTAAGGAAAAAAAAATCCTTAACGAAAGCTTTGCGATGTAGCTCAGAAGCAGATACATAAGTCATGCCACTGAGTGACAGAGCTGCCCAAACACCATTCAGTTGGTCGGTCCCTTCCTCCCCCTTCTACGTTGCACTCCCCTGCCTCTTCCTTTTTGCAGCCAGATACTGAATGACATTGGAGAGTTGCATCTAGCTGGAGAAAGTAAAGATTACTTCTCTGCTGATTAATTCAGTTTCCAATTCAGTTCACCACGTGGTTACACAAACAGCCAAGCCTTCACTGCTTAAACTGACAGTGGAAAACAAAGCATCTCATACAATATTCAAAAATAGAAACAGGTCGATTCTTGTTTTGATGAATTTGTGACATTTCTGTGCATCAAGGACACACCTGCTTTAGCTGATAAATAGTTTTGGAATGATCTCCACTAGTGATCTGGTCCAGAAGATCATCTACTATTTTCTCTCTGTAATTTCCAGC